TATATCATAATTTTGATAAAACATTCAAAATAAGGCTGAATCTATATATAGGCCCAATAGTGGACAGATATATTTTCTGTCACAAAAAGAAAATGTACAAGAAAAATATTGTTAAAATCTGGATAAAAGTATTTCTGACATCCTATTTATTTTTTGTGGATTTAACACTTAACTCCTCTTCCCGTCGTCTTTTTAAATATATGATGCAATATCTCAAAACAAAAAATAGACACAAATACAATATTTAAATGGAATTGTAGACAGCGCTTTGGGGGTTCAACACTTGGTGGTTGGGACATGGTGCTACAACCTAAATGGTTCAAAATGGTTTCCAAACATCTGTCCACTGTAGCGGACACCATACGTGAAAGGGTTAAGCAATTTTGTTGTTCTTTTTTTGCACAAAGCAGAAAGCTTTTAGCGCTGCAGCAAAAAGAAATAAAAGCCCACAGATGAGTATTAGGTGTGTGACACTTTTTCTGTATATTATTGTTCTTGTGCTGCCAGAGAGAATGATGGGAAATCATTTTTCTATACAAGCAAGTCACTTTATGGTGTCCTTGCACATATCATGATAACAATGTTTCTGGGTTTACTTGCTTCACAAACTATTTTCCTGTTTGACTCTGTAAAGCTGCTTTGACACAACCAGTATTGTATAAAGCGCTATACAAATAAAGGTGACTTGACTTGACATGGACATGACACATACAGATATAGACTACACTATATAAAAAAAAAGAAAAATACCATTGATGTAACAAGTTCTCCACGACACCACAGATACTAATAAAAAACTTTGTTTTTAAGAGTGTTTGGGGTCTGTGATTTTTAAATTTTTTTAAAAATAAATGTTTTTATTATTACTACAATTTAAAATACGGTAACACTTTATTTTGATGGTCCCTTTTGAACATTCTGTTGACAATAAGTAACACTACACCTACATGTCTACTAACTCTCATCAGAGTATTAGTAGCCTGTCTACTTAATATCTGCTAACTCTTTATTGTGATGGTCTCCCAACAGACATTCCACTGACTATCAGTAACTTTGCAAGTACATGTCAACATATTCTAACCCTAACCCTACCAGTTTACTAATACTGTACTAACACTCTAATGAGAGTTAGTAGACATGTAGGTGAAACTGTACAGACAACATTAGCAGCCATTTCAGATTAGATTAGCTATTCTATAACATTAGTCTCATGATAACACTTTGAATGGGGACCAATTCTCATTAACTATTACCTATGACTTTTTCCTCAATAAACTCCTAATTTGCTGCTTATTAATAGTTATCAAGGTAGTTGTAGGATTAAGGGATCTAAAATACGCTCATGCAGGATAAGACATTAATATGTGCTTTATAAGAACTAATATGCTAGTAGCAAATATGCAGCAAATATGCATGCTAATAAGCAAGTAGTTAATAGTGAGAATTGGTCCCTAAACTAAAGTGTTACCACTATGTGAATTTGAACATTTATTCTATAGTTAAATTAATTTTTTGTGATAGCAAACAGCACAGCTGAAATTGAGCTAAACCTGGAACACTCTTTGGAAGAATGGATAAAGACGACAATCCTTTATGACCAAGGACTAAACGTCTAGGCCTCGGCGGCTTTATTCAGTCTCGTATTCAACTCTTAGAGGATTCACAACCCAAATGATCAGAATAAATCACACAGACGAAACCAGTATTGAACAGAGATGAGCCCGGCAGAGTAACAGCAATCAGTGCAAAGACAGTTTCCAGCTTTTTAAGGTCATTATTTCTTTTCTGGGTGCCTGGACTAAAAAAAAAAACCTTACAGTGATGAGATTAATGCAGCATGATAGTGCTCACATAAGAAAAATTAGAAACTATGTGCATATACATTTCAGTCTGTTCTTCACATTAAACTCTTTTATAGCTTCAGAGGACTTATGGACTAGTTTTATGATACTTTTATAGTGCTTTTCTGTCCTTTCTGGCCACTGTATGGAAAAGAGCAGTGCGGACATCTGGTTACATTTCTTTTATGTTCCATGGAAAAACATACAAGTTTTAAATGATATATGGTCAAATGATGACAATTTTCCTTTTTGTTTGAATGATCCTATTGAAATGATGATAAATATAGTGTCTGATATTACATAAATCATTTGTCCTTGTAACGGTCAGAAGCTTTATCAGCATTACACCTTTATCAGTAAAACTGAGAATACCACACACTTTCCCACTCTCAGGACTTTACAAAACCGTGATTGATCGTTTTAATTACAGCAGCAATAAAGAAGGCTCTTCTATTGGATAAGTAGATGTATGATTAATAAACACTATTACTGAGACATAAGGATACTGTCCTCAAGTACTCTTTACACTTTATCGCCAATAATCAAATGAACGCTGTGTGGAAAAATGACAAACATGAATATGCTAATAGACACCCGCCACACGCAGAGACACACTCAATATCCATGAACTGTGTTGTACACCAGCTGAGAGGATAACTGTTAAGGGATAATTCTCTAACAGACACATTTTGAAGTATATTTATTTAATGGGTAATTTTACAAAACGGGTGCTATCTGTGACCATCGCGCGCGTGTGTGTGTATACATAGTCACACTCTGGTTTGAGGACCAATTCTCACTATTATGACTTTTGCCTTAAACTCATAATTTGCTGCTTATTAGTAGTTAGTAATGTAGTTGTGTTAAGTTTAGGTATGGGGGTGGATTAAGGGATCTAAAATCTTGTCATGCAGAATAAGGCATTAATATGTGCTTTATAAGCACTAATAAACAGCCAATATGCTTGTGATGCTAATAAGCAGCTAGTTAATAGTGAGAATATGTCCCTAAACTAAAGTGTTACCATAAATATAAAGCTTTTAGATGAAAAAAAAAATAGATAAGTAAATAAATAATTGAATATATAAATACATTTGTGTCCCCAGAGAAGTATGCCAACCCTGTTATCATTTTGGTAATGCAGGATAAAAAATAAATAAATAATAATAATAATATAAAATAAAATAAAATAAAAATGCAATATATTAACCTAATCAGTTTTTGAGGAAATGAAATTCTTTAAGAATGCTTCCGTTTTTTAATCACGTTATTTGATATTTTTTGGTTTCTCATAAAGAGATGAGCTGAATGTCAACCGTGTTACCATGATTTTGTTTCATAAACAACTGATACTTGTAAACTACTTGATACTTGTGGAAGCAGCTTCAGATTATCTTTCTATTAAGCTCCTTGTAGTTTCAAGCCTTAAATGTCAAATTAAACAGTGAAAGTGTCAACCCTGTTACTGTCAACCTTGTTACCTTTTTAAAGGCATAATTATATCCCAACATATTATGCTTATTTATATATTAAATAAAATATATTCATTTAGCTTGAGATGGTACAATGCAATTAACACTTATATACATTATTTAATTGAATATTAAAAGTAAAACAAAAAAAAGTACTTTAAAAATCACCGTTTCCATTTCATTTAATGGCCTCATTACACTCAATTCATCTTGGAATAAAGGTCATTCTGCGTCTCTTTAACTGGCTCAGTGTCTTTATCAGTGGAAGTTTTCAGACAGACAAGTCTCTCAGACCTCACACAAATTATTCATTTTCACTTCCATCCCGTGTTCTGGGGCGCTCTATCCTGGTCGCCCGGTCGGCACGGCACACTAACCAGCCGTGACGTGTTCAAAAGGCCTGGCGTTTTGTACCCACGCTGCTAAAGCTCTTACCAGGGCAGCCGGCTCAAAGACAATCTATTATAAGAGCCCAAGAAAAAGATGAGGTGGCGAGAGAGAGAGAGAGAGAAAGTCCAACTGGGGGGCAATCTTTCTCTTGGCTCCAGAGAATCATTAGTCAAACTGTCTGAGAAAGAGAGAAAGAGAGATCGAGAGCATAACCAAACTGTCACACCTTCCCATAATTCCCTGCGGTGGTTTTGTCTGGTATTGTAGGTATTCCTGCATCATACAGCAGAAAGAAACCAGAAAAACATGTCTGCACTGATCGAAAGCTTCAAACAGAAATCTCCTTAAACAGCTCTTATTTATGACATGCATTTCTGTATGTAAACATTTCAAGACATCATACGTGATCTCGGGTCAGTCAAACACTGATTTAAAACGATTTCAGGGAAAGGTGAGAGTGTAACTGCTCTGATTGTTCAGCTCAGGCCTGCTAGAAGCTCGATTACTGTCATTATCTCACAGACAGTTAATGACACATGTGGGTCATTTGTTATGTCAGTGACACTGTACACTGTACGACACATGATCAGAATATAACGGCCCAATATGATCATTTAGCGGAGTAGCATAAACACTACAATATTCCCAGCAGGAGAATCTGATGAGACAATGAAATGCTGGAGAACGGAGAGGGAAAAAAAATGTGTTGAAGATGATAGGATGGAAAGGAGAGTCAAGAGAGACAAAATGAGACGGGATGAGACCAGAGAAGACGCAGACGAGACAATATGACTGTAGAGGAGAGAGAGGAGACAGGACAATAAAGAGGAAAAGAGACAAGATGAGACAGGCCAAGATGTATTTGCACACACACACACACACACACATATATATATATATATTAGTCTGGCGGGTAAACTATAAAATGTACGAGCCAATGGTGATTCTATTGCCAAGGTGTACGCAGAAGGTTGATACATACGTTTGTTTATCCACTATTTTAATGTCTTCATGCTTTACACACAACATTTGAGTATTTACAACAATTCCCCTTTTAATTGTGTTTCCTCAGCTGATAAGGCTGAGTGTTTCAAGGTACATAATGAGACGAGACGACACAACCTGAGAAGAACGAGATAAGAGAGGAGAAGAGACAATGAGAAGAGGGATATATGAGAGAGAAAGCTACAACACTGATATGACGGAGTTGAGTTGAGAAGGGAGGGACGGGACAGTATGAGCTGAATTCGAGACAGTAGCTGCGATGAGGGTAGACAGCGATGAGACTGGCTCTCACCGTGCAGTGGGTCTGCTGCTGCAGCACTGTGGGCACATCTCCTCCGATGGGCATCTGTTTGTTCAGTTCCTCATCCTTCACACAGATCCAGCGGCTCAGTTCCTCCAGGACTGACAGAAGACGGTTCCAGCGCTCAGCACTGGCCTCCAGATGAGCCCTGCACACACAATTACACATGCATTAAAAAAATCGTACAAATCTTGGTACTAATGAAGATGTTACATTTGGAATGCATCAGGATTCTCCCACAAACACATGGTTGAACACAACAGTTCCAACAGTCTTTCTCTGAACAGAATGAGTGCAACAGGTGAAACTTGTGTGTGTGTGTATGTGTGTGTGTGCGTGCACAAGGGTTAACAGTGCAGGCATTTTACTCACATATGTGATTAAAAATAGATGTGCGAGAACTGTAAAATGCATTTAGGGGCATTTGTGTGAATAAAAAAACCTGGATTATAAAAATGAATGTCATAAAAGTCTTAAATATCTTACATGGTGTAACAAACGTCTTGATCATTTTAAGAAGTGTTAAATTTGGCGATGGAAAAACTGGATTCTCCATACAACCTAATGGGATTATTAAACTTCAAAAGGCTATGATTTTATGAGATAAATATAAGCGCTGCACATTTCATAGTAAAAACCCGGCACTGTTGTGCAATCTCCAAGCTCACGCTTTCAGAGCAGTTCACATTTTAGCCAACAGATTGCTTATGATCTACAGTTGATGTATTATGACATGGTTTACTTTATGGTGTTTATATTGTAAAATGTTGTACATGGTTGTAAAATGATGGTCTGTTTCATTGAGCAGCTAGCATTAGTAAAGCACACACATTTCAAAATAAGAGTCCCAATATATTTATAATTACACAGATATACAGTATGTATAACTGTAATAAACAGACCATGCCAATATAGTTTATACAGTTTAAAGTAGGCCTATAAATAATTACATAATTATTAAATACAGTTTGAAGCAGAAATATGTATATATATAAAACTAAGTACTTTTTGTATTCTAATAAATTAAATCATTTTACTTGTAAATGTCTCCTTGTGTCCTTTTATTAAAGGGAAACACATTATACATTTTAATTGCACCCTTAAAGTTTTTTTAATGCACTAATTTTTTTTAACTTAGAAAAAAGAAGTGTCAAGCCCTGGTGTGTGTGTGTGTGTGTAAATGGACGTATCAGCAAGACTTGTAATTACATGTGTTCACTAATTAGTGCCTAATGTGTGTGTGTGTGTGTATGTGTGTGTGTGTGTGTGTGTGTGTGTAAATGGACGTATCAGCAAGACTTGTAATTACACGTGTTCACTAATTAGTGCCTAATTAGATTTGAACACAATTACACTGTTTTCCTCTCTCTCACACACACAGTCACACTCTCTTGTTGGTCCATTTTACCATTTTAAATGGTACACACACAAAACAACTATGCTACACACACACACACTCAGATCGACAATAGAAGTGAAACACGGCTCCATCTGTCCTTACGAGTGGCTCTTACCATTAATGTGTGAGCACTTGAACTTGAGGTTTATGTGTGTGTGTGTGTGTGTGTGTGTGACTGACCGTATATTGGCTGATTTGGCCTTCAGGTCGTTCCAGCGCTGGTTCATGTCATCCAGTCTCTGTTGGAGGAAAACTGCTTCCTCTGAGCTCCCCAGAGCCTTCACCATCTTCATCTTATTCCCGTCCACACTCCTGAAGACATCATTATGAGCCTCGATCTCCGCCTGGATGTCCTACACACACAGAGAGAGAGAGAGACAGAGAGAGACTGCTTTAATTGCACTGTTACCACCTTCATTATGTGGATTCGTTAAAAGGAAAGATAAATAAATCAACAAAGACAAACAGAGACGTTTCCACACCTCCGCTGAGAGGAAAGCACACAATTAAAGCTGTCAGTCTGATACTGAACCTCTCCACACACACACACACACACACACACACTCACAGACACACTCACAGACACACACAGACACAGACACAGACACACACACACACACAGCAACTGAACTGATGATTAATCTCACTACATGTGAAAGCACTCATGAAGCACACAATCTAGTCATTTATTCCTCTGACAGCATCCAACAGAATTATTAGTTATGAAAATCTCATCTTTGTATATATATAATTTGTTTAAAGTTTCTGTAAAGCTTTAGTTATTTTTATGATGAATAGATATATTTTTAAGTCACTATTTTCAGTTTAGTTTTAGTTTTATGGTGGCTAGATTATTATGTTTTTTTAAGGTTTATTCAGTTTCAGTAGATTATTGCTTTCGGTTTTCATTCCTTATATAACACAGCACCACGATTTATATCATGATGAAAACACAATTTATCACAACCTGCATCATGTTTAACACCAAATTGTAATATCAAACTGCCTTCAAAGTTTACTAGTGAAATGCACAACACCACAGCACACTGCAGGAGTTTCTATCTAATGTCACTCTGGATATTTATAATACATCAACATTGTGTGGTTCCTGTGTGCTTCTTTCTGACAGAATACACTGACAGACTATTTTATTTAAAAAAATGTCCATTTCTTTGGAAATACATGCTAATAAAGCTGGTTTGAATTGGAATTTGACAGATTGAGACATGTAGAGGACAGTAGGAGGAGGTTTGGGTCTTTTCCAGTTAATTAGCAAAGTGCTCTCTGCTACTTCACAAACGCTCTCTCTCTGTGTCAGTCCTTTAAACAATATACACCAGAATACCAATGAATATACACAACAGCACTAACTGTATGCTGTTGAAACACGCATCAGAAAGCATAGAGATTAAATAAAGTATTATGCAAATATTACGTTGAAGGCCCCAATAGAATTCACTGAGAAAGACACAAGAACTGACTACTTACACTGTCTGACGGACAAACATAAAGTGAGCAACAGTTCTTGTGGATACAGAATATCTCAAAGAACAAAACTGTCAGTGAACAAAACTAAACAACAAAAAACTAACGTTAAAAAATGTCTGAAACAACAAAACTAAACAACAAAAAAACATCTGAAACAACAAAACTGTCAGTGAACAAAACTAAACGACAAAAAACAAAATAAAAAAGAACGTCTGAAACAACAAAACTGTCAGTGAACAAAACTAAACAAAAAACAAAAAAAATGAATGTCTCAAACTAAAATAAATAAATAAATAAATAAACAAAAATAAATAAATAAATAAATGTTTAAAAAAGTCTCTAAACAAAACAAATGTCTAAACAAAATTAAATGTCCCAAACAACATAAACAGTCAGTGAAAAAAAAAGAAAAAACTTGGACCTTACAAACTTTGGAAAATGCAGTCACTAAACCTTCCTCAAAAGATTTTGCCTTGTACGAGGTAAATAGGACACTTTTTTTTTTCAGGTGAACAGGTGCATCCTATCCCACAATATACAGTCAGCCAATCAGATCTGAGCTTGCCATTTTGTGTGGTTATTGTAATTTACAATGGCAATTTGCATCAAACTGTCGGTGGACGAACTTTCGCTGATCAACTGGTGTGCTGTCTAACATTGAGGTTATAGTTTAGGTAAAGTGTGTATGTGTTAAAAAAAAACAAAAAAAGCGATTACCTCGTTGACATGACATGCACACACAGAACCACTAGACTGACCCCTTCAGCATGCAGCATGTGTCTGCGCTCTAGAAGTCTCATTTCTGCTCTTCATCACTGTAAATGATACAATATTGCCAAAGCTTAGTATACATGTACAAAAAGATAAAAAATAATAATATAATGTATTATTTACATTATTATTATTTATAATTTATCTCTCTCACACACACACACACACACAGGTGGAAGATGCTCTTCAAACTGAGAGCACTCTGAAAGCCTCTCTTTTCTGGAAGCAGTTATTGCACAGATAGCAGACACTTTTATCCAAAGTGACTAACAGGACACTCACTGCTGTACCGGCCCTCCAGCGACCTGAGCTTAAGTGACTTGATCGAGGACAAAATTGGGATAATTCACAGATCAGCCTTTATGGGACTTTCTTTACAGGTCAGGAAATGGAATAATTTTTTTATTAAAAAATGATTTTGTGATAAACAGATCATTGTGTCACTCGCAGCAATTTATACCAGATGAAACTGTCTAGCTCGTTCAGTGAACTGTCCCGATCACAAACATGTTATTTTATTATGCTTTGGTTTTTAGTGGTTTGAGGAGAAGATATTTCCATGTGTCGGAAAAACAAAACTTACAGCATCCATAAACCTGTGATGCGGAAGTTCCCAGGCAAATTTCCAATTTTCTCCAGAGCAGATGTCTGATTTGAAGAGTTTGAATATTTTACATCAGTGAGTATAAAACATTTTTACAATTTAGATTTTTACATTTAGATCATCTATGGGAATGCATAATATATTTGTACTATATTAGATACACACACCCACACACATATACAGTTGTGGCCAAAATTTTACATACACTTTGCAGTATCTGCAAATTGTTAATTATTTTACCAAAATATAAATATTAATTCATCAGTATCAGTCAATACTGGTGGAGATCGAATACATTTTACCATCAGATTTAAAAGTCGTAACATTATAATTGTTGCCTTATTGTTATCAAATAGAATTTTGGTAACACTTCATTTTACAGTGTCCTTGTTACATGTTTCATCCACTAACTATATTAATAACAGTTAATTACACAAGCAACTAATCCTAAACCTAAAGTACCGGTGTAATTTAAGTATCAATTTAAGTTTTTTTTTTCCATATGTCTATATAGTTTATATTAAGTTTAAGTTGATTTAGTTTAAATTATTTTAACTTTAATTGAAAATGAGAAGTGTTGCCTTGACAACTAGCTGAAATAATAATCGGTTTGCGACATTTTATTTCATTTAATGTTTGTTTGATTTCAAGGAAATAAATGTTTTTATGTATGGTTTTATTTCATTTTTGTTAACGATAATAACCCTGGTAAATGCATGCAATTAATTATTATTACTCAGTACTTCTTTGTGTAATTGCATTGTAATTGCAAGGACAACTTTAAACAAGGAATTTGAATGGTTTATCCCTAAACAATCTGGTGAGCAGCGGTTTCCAGTCGCATTCGGCACTTGTGTAACTTCGGGTCGCCACAGCACCCCGATCCATTCCTCCACGAGCGAATCTGAAAATACCTCCTCAAACTTCTTCAGCAACTCCTGCAAGCTGAAGTTCAGACCAATCATCATGATCTCCGTCTACCTCGACCGCACTACATTCCAGAACGCCAACGACGGAGAGAAATCTGGCAACGGATCAGTCTCCTCTGGGGGTCCACACACGCACAACACAGCTTATCACACGCAGGAGCATCATCTGTGGAAGAGCACACACGCATCACGGCTTCAGCGTCTGGCAGCGTGGAGCTCCAGTGTTGGATGGGTCTTGCCCAGTGCTCAGGATCTTCTGTAGTGTGAAGTCAAGGCCTGGATGTTGGAGGTAGACTGAAGATAGAGTTAGGGATTCAACCAAATATCCAACTGTTGGTTCAGTGATCTGGAGATGATTTAGCTGCTTTACTCGTTCTCACAAACCACACACACACACACGGCTCTTTCTCTGTAGTACAGACACACACAGAAAGCGTCTTGTTCCTCCAGGTTCCTGTGACCCTCGGACAAGCGTTCGTACTCAGTACTCCGTATAAAAGAGCCTCTGTGTGGTTCGCTCTGACGGGCAGAGCAAGGAGAGCAGCACAGCTGTCTGATTCACTCTCTCTCGTAGAAAATACGCACTCAGAGTAAGCAAGCCAAGAAGAACGGTGAAGGTCTGACCTTGAGGAGAACATCTCCAAATCTAGGCATATAGAAAGGCCAGAAGCAGGTGAGCTGTGAACGTGAAGGTGTTCATCTTTGCTCGAACCCAAAGCTCCACTTTGATCTTCACATGTTCCATCAGCGCTTGAAGAACATGCATCCAGATGGAGGTTTTCTTTCTTTCTGATCTCCACAGGCAGCTTGAAGTTTTCCAGAACTTCCACAAGTTTTCCTAAAACTCTCTGACTGGCCACCTTTCCTCTGTCTGTGGTCTTCTCTGACTGCTGGCTCCCAGAGCTGACTTTTCCTGCTCTCTCTCTCTCTCCTGTCTTTCCCTCCAGTGGCAGCTGTTTATTATTTTATTCAGCATCCTCTGTTTCCCCTCCTCTTTCCCTCCACTCCTCCATCCCACACACACCCACTTCCTGTAGGGCCCCACCATGAAAGAGAGCGAGCCGAAAATGAAAAAGAAGAATGTTCGACAAGAAGGTGAAGGCGGGAAAGACAAAGTTTTATATTGCAACAAGTTCAGCATCTGTGAATATGTGAAGCTCTCAGAGAGAGAGACTCTCATGACATGTTGTAGATATTGCAGCAAGCACTCTAAAATAGATCATCCAGATGAACAGACGTCTGCTATCAGTGAAGCGCTCTCCTCTCAGATGCCTTTGGTTCATCAGTAAGTTTTGACTGAAACAAGCCTATGACTCACTCAAATACTCCAACACCAAATGTTCAATCATTCTCTCATGTTTCAGTCTTTTTTTTTTTATTATTGGTGACCAATATCTCACTTTAGATTCACTTCAGATATCACCACCTATTCCTTTCTCTGCAGCGCTCGGAGTTAAACAGCATTGTTCAGAGAGTGTGTGAGTGTGAGCTACGCTTGCTTTGAAATTCATAACGCACATATGGGCTCTTTCTTGGCTTGTCTAAAAACATAAAGTCAACG